ATCCTGAACTCCTGACCTCGTGATCCGCCCGCCTCAGCCTCCCAAAGTGCTGGGATTATAGGCGTGAGCCACTGCGCCCAGTTTTTTTGTTTTTTGTTTTTTTTGACAGAGTGTTGCTGTAGTGCAGTGGCAGAATCTCGGCTCACTGCAACCTCCACCTCCCGGGTTCAAGCGATTCTTGTGTCTCAACCTCCTAGTAGCTGGAGTTACAGGTGTGAGCCACCACACCTGGCCAGATATTTCTTAATACCTCAAAACAACTAGGAATTTGGACTGGGCATGGTGGCTCATGCCTGTAATCCCAGCACTTTGGGAGGCCAAGGCGGGTGAATCACTTGAGGTCAGGAGTTCAAGACCAGCCTGGCCAACATGGCAAAACCCCATCTCCACTAGAAGTACAAAACCTAGCTGGGCGTAGTGGCACACATCTGTAATTCCAGCTACTCAGGAGGCTGAGGCAGGAGAATGGCGTAAACCCAGGACGCGGAGCTTGCAGTGAGCCGAGAGCCGGTCACTGCACTCCAGCCTGGGCGACAGAGCGAGACTCCGCCTCAAAAAAAAAAAAAAAAAAAAGAAAAAACACACAAAAAACCGAAAAAAAACCCAGCTAGGTTTGGCTACAAAGGATTCACAGGGAATTGGAGACCGCCGTTAGAGCAGAGTTTTCCCAAAAAGCAACAGGGCTTCTGCCTCCTGGGCTTAACAGATGTGACCTTGGACAAGTTACTAAACCCTTCTGAGCTTCATTTTTCTCATCTGTAGAATGAGGCCTGTCTCCAGGTTATTGTGAAGATGTGTATATGAGATGCTTTATGAACCACAAAGCTGCATGTAGTTGTCAGCTTCCCTCTTCTGGCCTGTGAGCTGGAGACACACACACACATTCCTCCCCAAACGGTCTCAGCCCCCAGGCACCTACTGCAAGGACTCGGGAATCGTGCAGAGGTGCAAGGGAGTCATGCCCTCCTCGGTCAGCACATTAGCCTTTGCTCCGAAGGTCAGCAGCAGCCGCACACAGTCGAGCTGGGCCCGGGCACAGGCCTCGTGCAAGGCAGTGCGACCCCCGACGCGGGCATCCAGCTCAGCTCCCTGCCGGATCAGGTGGCGAGCACAGTCTGTGTAGCCTCGGGCTGTGGCGATGGCGAGGGGTGCCGTCTGCTTGGTCTTGGGGGTCAGCACCCAGAACCCTGGGAAGAGCAAATAGTTTTGGGGTGTGGTGCATAAGACAGGGCAGGGCAGGGAGTGGGGATGCTGGTTCCAGCCGACAGCTGACCCTGGCCTTCCCTCTGCATGGTCTGCTGAGGACAAACACTGTGCCAGGCTGTACCTGTGGAAAGGGGCTTATTCAAGTCCTGAATTGGAAGAATAAATTGGAACAGCCTTTTAGAACAGCTTATCAATCTGTAATAAAACATAGTATGTATCATAAAAAATTAATTGCTGTATAAAACCACAGGGGCCAACTAAGTAGAGTGACTCCCATTAAGGAAACCTCAGTGTCTTTGAATGGCTAATAGTGTCAATGGCTTTTTTTGTTCACCTTGGGGCCTAGTGTGGTGGCTCACACCTGTAATCCTAGCACTTCAGGAGGCTGAGGTGGGATGATCACTTGACCTCAGGAGTTTGAGACCAGTCTGGGCAACATAGTGAGTCCTTGTCTCTATTTTTTAATTTTAATTTTAATTTTTTTGAGACAGGGTCTTGCTCTGTCGCCCAGGCTGGAATGTAGTGGTGCAATCTTGGCTCACTGCAAGCTCCGCCTCCCAGGTTTAAGCGATTCTCTTGCCTCAACCTCCTGAGTAGCTGGGATTACAGGTGCGTGCCACCATGCCTGGCTAATTTTTATATTTTTAGTAGAGATGGGGTTTCACCATGTTGGTCAGGCTGGTCTCGAACTTCTGACCTCGTGATCTGCCCGCCTTGGCCTCCCAAAGTGCTGGGATTATAGGTGTGAGCCACCATGCCTGGCTATTTTTTTAAAAAAAAGGAAAAAAAATATTTAGGGCTGGGTGCAGTGGCTCGTGCCTGTAATCCCAGCACTTTGGGAGGCCGAGGTGGGTGGATCACAAGGTCAGGAGTTCTAGACCAGCCTGGCCAACATGGTGAAACCCCATCTCTACTAAAGATACAAAAAATTAGCTGGGCATGGTGGTGAGTGCCTGTAATCCCAGCTACTCGGGAGGCTGAGGCAGGAGAATTGCTTGAACCCGGGAGACAGAGGTTGCAGTGAGCCAAGATCGTGCCATTGTACTCCAGCCTGGGCAACAGAGCGAGACTCCATCTCAAAAAAAAAAAATTTTTAAAAGACAAAATGTTCACCTTGGTCTTGGGTGAACAAAAAAGGGGAGTGGGTGTTACACACAAGCAGGTCTGGAGCTGAGTTTGGGAGTGGCCGAAGAGCAGAACTGAGTTCTGGGATACTCCTGGGGCAAGGAGGGTTGGATGGAAATTGTGGGGAAAAGAAAGATCAGACTGTTACTGTGTCTATGTAGAAAGAAGTAGACATAAGAGACTCCATGTTGTTCTGTATTTGAGATGCTGTTAATCTGTGACCCTGCCCCCAACCTTGTCCTTGCAATAGACATGTGCTGTGGTGACTCAAGGTTTAACAGATTTTGGGCTGTGCAGGGTGTGCTTTGTTAAACAAGTGCCTGAAGGCAGTATGCTTGTGGAAAGTCATCACCATTCTCTTAATCTCAAGTACCCAGGGACACATACACTGCCAAAGGTCGCAGGGACCTCTGCCTAGGAAAGCTAGGTATTGTCCAAGGTTTCTCTCCATGTGATAGTCTGATATATGGCCTCGTGGGAAGGGAAAGACCTGATCGTCCCCCAGCTTGACATCCGTGAAGGGTCTGTGCTGAGGAGGACTAGTATAAGAGGAAAGAAGGCCTCTTGGCAGTTGAGATAGAGAAAAGCATCTGTCTCCTGCCCGTCCCTGGACAATGGAACATCTCGGTGTAAAACTCGATTGATTGTATGTTCTGTTTACTGAGAAAGGAGAAAACCGCCTTAGGGCTGAAGGTGGGACTTGCTAGCAATGCTGCTCTTTATGCACTAAAACGGTTTATGGAGATGTTTACATATGCATATCAAGGCACAGCACTTTTCCTTAAACTTATGTCACAGAGATCTTTATTCATATGTCTTACTGCTGACCTTCTCCCTACTATGATCCTGTTATCCTGCCACTTCCCTTTTTCTAAGATGGTAAAGATAATGATCAATAAATACTGAGGGAACTCAGAGACCGGTGCTGGCGTGGGTCCCCTGGGCCCACTTTTTCTTTCTCTATACTTTGTCTCTGTGTCTCATTTCTTTTCTCAAGTGTCTCGTTCCACCTAACAAGAAACGCCCACAGGTGTGGAGGGGCAGGCCACCCCTTCAGAAATAGGGGGAAGGGAGAAGGGGGAGAATAAGAGGTGGGGATGGGAAAAGAATGAGGAGAGGGTAATCGTGGGACTAGCGTTGGATTTGAATGGTGGCAGTGGTCAGGGACTTGTTTAAAAGGCATAGATGCCTCATATCAAACTAGAAGTTGTTTGCATGGCAGCACAGTCTGTCCCTGGCTTTTCTAAATCTTGAGTAAAGCATGTTTTGTTTCTTAGTAGACTTGAAATTAAGGCTGAGTTCCATCGTGGGGATTCTGGACAAGCTGCAGGACAAGACCAGGATGCCCTGGTGGGGTCACAGCCAAGCAGGAATTTGGAACCTGTAGTAACCGAGGGAGCTCATGCTCTCCCAAGGATTCAAGCCCCAGATCCATGGGTGGGGTTTAAGCAATCTCCTGTCAATCTTGAGATCGTGGTGATCTCAGCTAAGGTATTTAGTTAACCTGGACAGACCCGCTAGCCAGAAAATATATATATATATATGTATTTTTTTTTTGAGACGGAGTCTCATTCTGTTCCCAGGCTGGAATGTAATGGCACAATGTCAGCTCACTGCAACCTCCGCCTCCCAGGTTCAAACGATTCTCCTGCCTCAGCCTCCCAAGTAGCTGGGATTACAGGTGCCACATGGCCAGCTAATTTTTGTATTTTTAATAGAGATGGGATTTCACCATGTTGGCCAGGATGGTCTCGATCTCTTGACCTCCTGATCTGCCCGCCTTGGCCTCGCAAAGTGCTGGGATTACAGGTGTGAGCCACCGCACCAGGCCCTTTTTTGTTGTTGTTTTTGAGACAGAGTCTCACTCTGTTGCCAGGCTGGAGTGCAATGGTGTGATCTTGGCTCACTGCAACCTCCACCTCCCAGGTTCAAACGATTCTCCTGTCTCAGCTTCCCAAGTAGCTGGGACTACAGGCTCGCGCCACCACACCCAGCTAATTTTTGTATTTTTAGTAGAGTCGGGGTTTCACCATGTTAGGATGGTCTCAATCTCCTGACCTCGTGATCCATCCGCCTTGGCCTCCCAAAGTGCTGGGATTACAGGCACGAGCCACTGCGCCCAGCCTAGCCAGAATATATTCTAAGGATATCATCTGGCAAGTACATAAAGATGTTCATCATACTGCTATTTTAAATAGTTAAAAAAAAAATCTACCCAATCGATTTGGGGGCTAGTTATAAAATTCATGGCAGATGCCTCTACAGTAGAATTTATGCACATATATATACATATGTATTTTTTTTCCCCTGTGGAGATGGGGTCTTCTGTGTTGCTCAAGCTGGTCTAAAGCAGTAGTCCCGCCTTGGCCTCTCAAAGTGCTGGGATTACAGCCATAAGCCACCGTGCCCAGGCCAAGAATATAACTTTTACCTCCTTTTTTTTTTTTTTTTTTTTTGAGACAGAGTCTCATGCTGTCGCTTGGGCTGGAGTGCAGTGGGACAATCTTGGATCACTGCAACCTCCGCCTCCCGAGTCCAAGCGATTCTCCTGCCTCAGCCTCCTGAGTAGCTGGGATTACAGGTGCCCGCCACCATGCTAATGTTTTATATTTTTAGTAGAGACAAGGTTTTGTTTCACCATGTTGTCCAGGCTGGTCTCGAACTCCTGACCTCGTGATTCACCCGCCTTGTTCTCCCAAAGTGCTGGGATTACAGGTGTGAGCCACTGCGCCCGGCCAACTTTTAATTCTTAAAAGACATACAGACTGCTAACTCTGCCTCATCTCTGTTTAGGAGGGAGCTAGGATGGGTGGTGGAAAGGGCTGCTATAGTCTGTGGTCTGCAGAGAAGGGGGGCCCTAGACTCTTCCCCCCTCCCCACCCACTCCCCTTCTTTCTCCCTCCTCTTCTGCCCTCTTCTGGTGCCCCCTACCCTGTTCAGCTGACCAGGCCAGCTGGTTGCTCACAGTCTCCACAATCATGTTGGCGGCCTCTTCATCTTGGAACAGGGCTTGGACCTGCTGCAGGTCGCCGGAGAACAGGGCATGGTGGACAGCTGGGTCTCGGCAGGAACGGTGAGGCCTAGTGAGTCGGGCCCGGGGACTTGACGGGCACCTGCGGCTCCGGCATTGCTGGGCAGCTGCCCGCCGCCGGTCCTCCCATTCCAGCCACTCCCGCTGCAGGCGGAGAGAGCGCAGCGTGGAAGAGGTGAAAGGGAAGGTCTCCCTTGCCATGGATGGGGCCCAGGGTTTGGAGCAGTGGCACCTGGGCAGAGCCAGGTTCCCTCGACCCGACTACCTCCCTTGCTCTGAGAAGCCACCCTGCCCCCTCCACCGTGAGCCAGAGAAAGCAGCAGCTGAGGCTATAAATAGGTCCTTCTCTGCTCTGGTAAACACAGTTTGCTCAGAGTCATGATCCTGGTGCTGAGAAGCTGCTGGCCCAACCCCCAGCCCAGGGTGAGGGCCAGCCCCTGCCCTTACTGATACCCTTTGGTTGGTCAGCAGGCCCTCAGCTGAGGCCACCCCTGAACCCCAGCATCTGCACCCACCTTCATCCCTAGAGTGAGCATCTTGGGTTGGCAAGGTCCGGGGTGCGCGAACAGGTCAGTCATGGAGATGGGCAGGGCTGGGAGGAAGACAAGGTGCCTCCAGCCTCTCTGATGTTGACTGGAGGGCAGAAGCCACCACTGGCCCACGTGGAGGAGATAGGGCTGATTTCAGTACAGGAGGTAAGGGGAGGTCAAGGCATAGTTACTGAGTAGGTGAGCAGCTCTTCCCAGCATCTGCAGTAACAGCAATAACTCTGTACATGTGCACAGAGTTTTACGGTGTTTAAATCACATTCATATCCACCTTCACCCAGAGGACCATACTTCCTAGCCCACCCAGTAATTAGTAAACTTGGTTTGGACAATAAATGAAATTTTCACAGTTGAATGCCTCTGAGATGGGTGGTCTTATCTCTGTTTTACAGATGAGGAATTTAAGGCTTAACAAAGTAATCTACTGGCTCAGGGTCACAGTTTGTGATAGGCAGTGCCAGAACCCCACATAGATGTTGTGCTCTGGGCCAAGAATGGT